CAAATACTGGCCATTCAGCCCTTAATTTGTTAAAAGGTACCCTTTAGACCAAATCGGGGCCCTTACGTAGGACCTCACAATCAAGTATTATTGTATCATAATCGGCAAAATCAAACAGTGTTATAGGTCAAATATCATTTTATTTAGTGGCCTGGCTTAGCAATTCAACTTCAGTTTGTCCTCAAATCCCACGTTTAGTCCTACCCACCTTTGCTTAGGACCAGCCTTTAAAGGTTAGATTGGTCAAAACTTTGGAAAGGCACAATAAAGTGTTAGTTTTCGCAACCGCGACACAATTTAGAGCCCACCCCTTTTTATCACAAAACAGAAACATTTTATGGACACCCATACAAATTTCTATATTAAATTAGTATCTAGTCAGTCCGCCCTTCTGTTTACAGAGAGGCAGCGTCGAGGCATGGACTCAACTAGGACGCGTCCGCCTCCGTGTTCAACGTCGACGAGGCCGCCTTCTTCTTCAAGACGGTCTTGCGTGTATCCGCTTGCATTGGTATGACTCCTGCTCTAAAGAAGAACACGGCCCGCATGACTTTCCTAGTTGGATCAAACGCAACGGGGACAGAGAAGCTCAGGCTGCTAGTGCTGGGGAAGGCAAATCAGCCTAGATGGCTGCCACGCAAGCCCGCCGACGTAGACTACATTGACACCAGTAAAGGCAGGATGACGACGGCTGTCTTTAAGGACTGGTTGATCGAGATCAACGAGAAGATCAAGGCTGCTGGCAGGAACATCCTGCTGCTCTACGACAATGCGCCAGTTCGCAAGTGGCCCGAGGAGATATTGTCGCATGTTGAGACTGTTAGACTACCCAAGAACACCACTTCAACGCGGCAGCCGATGGACCAGGACGTAATCACCTGGCTGAAACAACACATTCTCAACAACCGGACCGCGACTCTACTGCTCCCTGTGCTCATGTGCGAGAAGGACCTCTACCAGATCGACAGGTCGAGTGGCTGGGAGGACGAGATGCCTAATGTGCTTGCTAACTGCTGGAGGCACACAGGTTTGCTGTCAGGTAGAGTACTAAGTGTGGACCACATACTA